TGACCGATTATTATTATAGCGAGACAAGAAAAAAAAAAGAAAAAGAAGATACATACATTATATTTACTTAATTATCATAATAACGAGGAAATGTTTTTTTTTTTATTCCAAGGCCACAGAAACTTTCATCTACGATGAAATATTTTGTCTGTCAAAAAAAAAAATAATAATAACCTATTCGGTGTATTAGCATCTAATTTATTTGCTCGGGGTTTTTTTTTTTTTTTTCAACACGGTTACAATATTACCTACGTTATAAGTTAGACTATATATTGATAAGTATATAAATTCATTTCAAATCGCATTCACTAGCTGCACGTTCAATATTGTGAAACTCTCGGGGGTATCAACCGTTCTCAACGAATTACGTCCAATAAAACAAAAAGAAAATGTTACTTTTACTGTTTTACTAGAAAACCGTATGGGCTAAAAATTACAAAACAGAACCATTTGGTCGCGTGTCAATGGCGGTAACTATATTATTATTATATTCGGAAGGAATATTTTTTACGAAAGCGAATTTTATTTGGTCGGTTATCATTGTACACATAATGATGTCTGTGATGTGCCCGCTCGTCATCAACATTTTTGCAGACTGCAAGCGTAATATCTGGTGGGAAATTTTTCTGTTGTTATTCAGTTTAAAATCATCATCTTAGAGTATCTCTGAATATTCTACGCAATACTTTTACCGGGCTTTTATAGACGTGCTGAATTTTCTAAAATATTTTCTTGATTTTTGAGCTATTCATTGGCGTTTGAAATTTTCGAGTTTTGTAAATTTTTATTCGATTTGACGCGGATAAAATTGTGTTTGGCAGAAATACTTGAACATTTTACACAAGATTCATCGTGATTTGAACTTAATTTTTGTATTATTATGATGATTTTATAGCGATGCTGAACTAATCAAAGAGTACCAAAGTGCATAAAGAAAAAAAAACAGAGTCCAAGACAAGTCACGAAATCTTCGGTTTTTAATATTTTTATCAAAAGCCAGTATTATTATTAAATCAATCGAAATATTCCGATAAAAAAATAATAATACATACGTATCCATTCGGTCCATTCGTAATAATTATTAACTTTTCACAACTGTTCGCTAAAAAATACCGAGTGCTCGTGCGCTGTCCTCCGGTCGTGTTACCTCGAACCCGGCAACGATGATAATATAACTATTATTGATAATAATAATATTTACGCTGCGGTTTACGATCGTGTGTACACACGCTTATAAACGCGGGTGCCGGTTCGCGTAACGTGCGAAATTTGATTATAATTTTCGTGATCAAAAAAAAAAAAAAAACC